TGACATTATTATCTGGTCTAGCTCTGTCGCTGAACACGTCAAGAACGTCAAACTCGTCTTGGAAGCTCTGCGAGAGGCGAGTCTTTTCTGTTCTCCCAAAAAAACCGAGTTGTTCGCCACCGAAGTTGAATTTTTAGGACACTTCATCTCTGCTCTCGGAGTACAAGCTGATCCCTCAAAAACAAAAAAAAGTGGAAGCCCGCCGAGAGGCGGGAACACTAAGATCGAACGAAGACAGAACAGAAACGGCAGTGATCGGATAAGGTGTATCGAGGGTACAGGAGGGAGCAACGCACTGATCCGACTCCTCAGCTTCGAATACAACAGAAGGCATCTGTACAGCAGCTACAACATTGGACGTCTTGCCGTGGACGCGGATGGCAATACCTTGTTCGCTGGAAACATGAAGGCCCACGCGGTGACCTGTGGTTGCCCGCACGCGAAGTCGAAGACTGCGAAGCCCTCGACATCTTCCTCGAAAAATGCGCCTTACAAGACAAAGTACATTCTTCAAAAGAGGGAGGAGTGTAAGCCCGTCGGCTTACTACGAGCTCCCCGACATATCGAACCGCGGCTTCCGACACTTCGGAAGCATCCTTGGAGTAGCCTCGATCGACGATCAACACTCCTATCTGTCATATACGACCTCGACCAGCCTCGGCCCTGTATTTCTTTTACTTCCGTTATGCTTCCGCTCCGAACTTGCTTCATTGTCATTCTACCTTCCCGATACCGCGCCTCAGACATTCATTTTCCTGATACGTCTTCGTCTCTTATTTTCTTATATATACGAACATGAGCTCGCCTACGATAGATAGCTATCTGCTCTGCTCCCTCCTGTACCCTCGATACACCTTATCCGATCACTGCCGTTTCTGTTCTGTCTTCGTTCGATCTTAGTGTTCCCGCCTCTCGGCGGGCTTCCACTTTTTTTTGTTTTTGAGGGATCAGCTTGTACTCCGAGAGCAGAGATGAAGTGTCCTAAAAATTCAACTTCGGTGGCGAACAACTCGGTTTTTTTGGGAGAACAGAAAAGACTCGCCTCTCGCAGAGCTTCCAAGACGAGTTTGACGTTCTTGACGTGTTCAGCGACAGAGCTAGACC